TCCCAAAGGAGCAAGATTTGTGTTGATTGGATATTCGGACTTCGATTATGCGGGATGCAAAGTTGAGAGAAAGAGCACATCAGGCACATGTCAACTATTGGGAAGATCACTTGTGTCTTGGTCATCAAAGAAGCAAAATAGTGTAGTACTTTCAACCGCCGAAGCGGAGTACATTTCGGCCGGTAGTTGTTGTGCTCAATTACTTCGGATGAAGGCTACTTTGAGTGACTTTGGAATTAAATTCAAGCAAGTGCCATTGCTATGTGACAATGAGAGTGCCGTAAAGCTCACCAACAACCCGGTTCAACATTCAAGAACAAAGTATATTGATGTCCGTCATTATTTCATAAGAGATCACCAACAAAAAGAGGACATTTGCATTGAGAGTGTGGGCACCGAAGATTAACTTGCCGATATCTTCACCAAGCCACTTGATGAAAAAAGGTTTTGCAAGCTAAGAAATGAATTGAACATACTTGACTTCTCCAATATGTGTTGATGCACCCCCATTATATGACATGCCTCTCCTTCGAGCAAAGCAAGGTAAAGTTGCTTGACATGTTATCTATCCATTGCTAAGGACTTGTTTAGTGCATCTAGTCATTCCTATCATGTCCATGGCTCATTCATTAAAATCAAATGAATTTGATGCTTGTATGGTACCACTATTGCTTGTATGTTTAAAATGATATAATGGTAGCATATGACATGTTTGTGGGCTTGTAAACCTAGTGTTTGATCTAGAAAATAAGCTACAAGTGTTTAACTCAACATGGTACAAGATAACCCTTATTTGGAGGTGTGAAAAAGCTAGTCCTTGGATCAAACCGAGTTAAATATCTTTTGCAAGTAATCTAGATTGAACCAAATTAGGAAAATGATCCTCATTTCACATGGTTTCACCCCAACCTATCTATAATTTGAGCTCACCTTTTGTGCTAATTGTTGACAAAGGGGAGAAATTCACAAAGATAGTAAGATAGAAGGAGCAAACAAATGAAATGAAATGACATTGACATTGTAAGAGGATCATAAAAAATGCACACAAGTAGGGGGAGTAAGCTCATAAACTTGTATGTTGCATTTAAATTATATGAAAATTATAGATCTCGATGGGATATACAACTTTCTAGTTTTGAGTTTTTTCATTTGAAGTCGTTAAGATGCTCAAAAAAAATTAATGGCATATTTACACTTAAGGGCATTTTCGTCTTTTCACACCTGTAGTTTGACGGCGTTAGAGTCCAAACTGACGGAAGTGGCATGGAGGGCACGAAAAAGTTGGAGCAGTGGCGCTGAAGACCGCTGAACTTTTTCAGGGGACACACAGGGCATTGTGATCTTTTTTAATGGCACACAAGGAATTGTCTCATATATTTTAGAGGCTCAAATATTCATTTTAAGTTGCCAAGTTTTAAAATTTAATTTTTTTAATTTACAAAATATCCTTGATGTTACATAGTCTATATCAAAGTTTTAGTTCCTAGATCTATAACTTTATAGTTGGTAAATGTTTTATCTGAGATCGTTTAGAGGCCCAAATATTAATTTTGAGTTCTTTATTGTTTTTCAAATGATTGTGGTCTGCACTGAAGTTGTAGCTCTCAAAATATTCTAGAACTTGTAGTTAATAATATTTTTATCTAGGCTGTCAACATATACATTAAAGTGGGCTAAATTATTTGTTCCTTGTAACGTAACTTGAAATTTGTGGATTCGAAATTTGTAAGAATTTACATGCAGTACATAATTTGGATGGACATCGGATGGAAAGCATGCATCATGCATGTGCATGCCTATTTCGTTTAGAAGTGTAGACATGTGAAGGTGCAATGGTTGAGGGGCATTTTTGAGACAAAAAGCTTTCAATACTAGAATCCATAGCTAATAGCTACGTAAAATCTAAGGATCCAAACTGATAGGATTTTTATTATCCAGAATCTGGATTCTAGAATCCCATGGCATTCAAACGGGCCCTAACCTGGACAGTGATTTTTTTTAGAAACAGCCTCTTCCTTTTATTGATCACCAATTATATTACAAACTCCAAACGGAGGAGAGATGAGCCACAAATGCCTACCAAAATCTAAACTAACAGAACTCCTAGCTAACTGATGCGCATCAAAATTCGATTGCCGCCCTTCATGCACAAAATCAACTCTGGCGAAGCTTTCCATTCTTCTCTTGATCTCCAAGATGATAGGACCATAGCTCCCGAAACTAGCCCATTGGATACTCCTTGTTGCGTTAGCGCAGTCCATCGCCACTCTCACAGTTTGGAGGCCTATGTCATCTGCGAGAGCGAGGCCTTCACGACATGCAAGTGCTTCAGCCACCTCTGCCTCTGAGAGGCCTTCCAAAACTAGAGCTGAGGCACCCAAGAAAGTGCCTTCTCCATCCCTCTCAATCGCCACCACTGCCGCTCTTCTAGTATTGTTTAACAATGCAGCATCCACATTAATATTCATGTCACCGCTGGGTGGCCTAATCCATAGTGAGCTGGGTGAAGTCGCCTGCTTCTTCTTCGACTCCGGTTTGATCAGCTCCAGCTCCACGACAAAACGCTCAACAAAGCGGTGGGTGGATAGTGGGCTCTAGAATTGGTCTTCATATATCGCCTTGCGTCTCACGTTCCAGATTGCCCAGAAACGCACCACTACCCGTATCATCTCCTCTTACTTTAGATGTTGCAGCAGCTCTGCCAGCCATCCCCGCACATCTTCTCCGCCGGCATTGGACACTAGCTCTGCTATCTCAACCTTCTCTAAGCTCCAAACACACCTTGCAACATTGCAATCAATCAATGAATGCTGCCATGAGTCCGGTTGCCCACATAGCGAGCAACCACCATGCGGTGCCATGTTTCTGTTGTGACAAACATCCCCAGTTGGTATTGAATTTCGGGCAAGCCTCCACAGAAACACCCGGACTTTGGAAGGCACCCCAATCCTCCAAAGCTCACGCCACTCCTTCCTCTCTGACATAGTATCTGAGCGGTCTGCTGAATGCTCCTGCCAAGGCGTCATTGATTCTCGAGTTTGTGCCAGCATCCGATAAGCCGACCTCACTGTGAACATGCCTGACTTCTAATGATGCCATGCCCAAAAATCCTCCACTGGAGCAGTACACAAGGGAATGCTCTCTATGGGGGCTGTTCGGCTGGCTGGCCGGCTGGGCAGCCCCCTCACGAATCACTGTTCACGTGAACAGTGATTTCAGCCTGAACAGTATTTTTCTCTCACAACAATCAGTTGGAACAATATTTTTGCTTATTTTTCAGTCCTGCCGAACAGGCTCCATGGTCTCTGTGTCCAGCGGGGTAAAGAATTCCATCAAGATCAGCCTGTCCCATCGTCTTGACGTCTGATCAATTAATTGGCTAACCCACACTAGCGGGTTGTTTTTGATGCTGCAAATAGGCCTCATGCTGCCCTCCCTGGGTAGCCAATTCATGTCCCAAATTCTTATAGATTCTCCTGAGCCAATACGCCGAATTAAACCCAGCTTCAACACATGTTTGTCCTCTACGATCGCCCTCCACACCCGAGATGGGTTCGGACCGATCACTGCATCCAGGAAGTTCAGCTGTGGAAAATACACCGCTCTGAGCACCCCCGCGCTTATTGACTCCGGGTCCTGCAAAATCCTCCCAGCTTGGCGCGCAAGCATGGCTTGGTTAAACAGTTCAATATTTTTGAAACCAACCCCCAAGATACTTGGGTCTTGCAATGTCATCCCACGCGACCCAGCAGGTGCGGCGCTTGCCTTCCTTGCACCCCCACCAGAAGTCTCGCAGTAACCCATCAATATGCTTACATAATCCCCTCGGAAGCTTGAAGCATGACATAGAGTAGGTTGGAATGTCTTGGGCTACGGCCTTGATTAGAACCTCTTTGCCGCCAGCTGAAAGACATTGTTCCATCCACCCTTGAACCTTCTGCCACACCCTGTCTTTGAGGTATTTAAAGGCTCCATTTGCTGATGTTCCCACATCTGTTGGCATACCCAAATATTTATCACTCAAAGCTTCATTTTGGACACCTAGCACCGCCTTTATCTCGCTCCGAAGATCAGCACTACACCCCTTGGCGAAGTGGATGGGCGATTTTTCCATATTTACTTTGTCCAGAAGCTTGACAGTATAAAAAAAATAAACCCTAACCTGGACAGTGATGCTACCTACATGCCTCCCACCAGGCCAGCCCACTCACACAGCCCATATGAACGATCTGACTTGGACTTTGCATCTCCACGTAGGCAAGTGACACTCGTAGAAAAGTGACCAGCAACAGCGTAATGCAGCCGTTGCAAAGTGGAACGTGCAAATCCAATCCAACAGAACCGCCTTTCTCGTTTACTCGTCACATCATTAGACATTAGGAAATCTAGGAGGAGCAGTTGTTGACAACACACACTCGGGTGGTGGGTTGGCGTAAACGGCACTCACCACTTTTTCTGGCGAGCGAGCGCTTGACTCGTGAGCACGCGGTGCAGTTCGTGCGTGTGCGTGTGCGTTCGCGTGCCGCGACTGCAATCTGGCCAAACCCACCCATGCCGGTTTCCATGAGCGGCGCCACACGCCAGAGGAAAATTTCAGATCGCCAAACAAACCAACTCCGACCACCGTCCATGTGAGTGTGAGACCGCCGGCGCTAACGGTTGGGCGAACAATCACTTGCCCAAATTACCAATCAACACGTACCCAGATTGACGCCGCGGGCAGGGCGAATCAACACAAATCAGCAGCGGACGGGATAATGATAATATGGTGTCGAATCTCACTCAGTCTTTAACAAATCGAATTACCAGCCAATCCAAATCGATTGGTTCAAACAAAACCAAACCAAAATGCAGCAAGCAATTAAAGTCCCATGATTCCTATCCTTTTTACAGGCGGCGGCGGCGGTGAGAGTTCGACCAACTCCATGGAGAGCGGGCGGGCGGGGCTGGAATCGGCCAGCAACCAGGCCCTATATCTCGGAGAAGGGGCGGCGGTCCTTCTAGTACGGCGGCGGGGCGAGGTGGCCGCCGTAGGCGCGGAAGGAGCCGCCGGCGCCGGGGCCGTAGGCGTCCTCCTGGAGGTGGATGTTGCCGGTGAGCTTGTGGAAGCCGCGGGTGTAGATGCCGAAGCCGAAGACGAGGCCGACGGCCACCAGCACCAGCACGATGAGCGTGCAGATGCAGCACGCCTTGCTCGGGCAGCAGCACATCTCGCCGACTCGCCCTGTCTGTCGTAGTTCTCGCCGCGGGGCGCCCGCCGCTCGGGGACGGAGGAGAGCCGAGGCGCACGGAAAAGGCGAGGCGCTTTTGCTTTTGGCTGTGGGTTGGGTTCGCTCGGGAACAGCGCGCGGCGGGGGCTCCGATCTGGTCTCGTCTCGTCTGGGCGTGCGTGCCCGGACGAGCGGCGAGGCTATAATAAAGGGCGCGGCTGGCTCGCCGAGCTCCGGTCTGATGCGGGAATCGGGTGCGCTCGTCCCGTCGAATTGGTTGGGTTTGGCGGCTGTTTGGGTGGGGTGGACCGTGGACGGGTGGTGGGCTGGTGGCCTCACCTTGGTGCAGGTGGTCCCGTCCCGTGGAGGCGACGCCTCGGCGGCCGTGGCTTGGCTTCGGTTCGGTGGGACGACTCTCTCGGCGGAAAGAGAACCTGCTGCGGGCTGCGTTTCGCGTCGGTCTGGTTTCGGGCTCGGATACGACGTCACGAGGCGCTTCGGCTCGTGCAATAGCGTCGTAGTCTATTTTTTTTTCTTAAAAAACTTTTAAACTAATAATAATCTTTAACTTTAAAACCATTTAAATTACCTACCCAACCTAGTTAGTTAGGAGTAAAGTGGTTTTAAAAACGGCTGTCTTTTTTTATTAAAAAGTCAGTAAATAATTGACAAAGTTTTTTTAATAAACAACAGGAAATGTCTCTCACCTTTTAAAAGTTGAAACAAATCATAGAAATAGGTTTGGATATGAAGAATCAAGTAAAAAATTTAGAACTTATGAAAAATATATCTAGAAGCTTTAAAAGAATATATTTATCTCTATAAAAATAAAAAATATATATATCCAGAAAATTTAAAAAAAATCTAAAATATTTTAATCAATGCCTGAATATGTTCTAAAAACTTTGCACTACAAAAGTATGAGATGCAACCCGCATGAATGCAACATAGATTAATGTTGAGTGCATTCGTATTGGTTGTGTTTTATGTTTTTTGTTGTGTAAAGTTTTTAAAACACATTTAGACATCAATTAGAAAGTTTTGGGAATTTTTTAGTTGTTTAGAATATATTTTTTTCATTTTATTAAGGCTAAATCTAAGTTTTGGAAGATTCTAAAGATGTTTTCACGAACTCTCATTATTTTATTTGGAACATTCTATCTTAATCTATCTCTAAGATTTGCTTTGGAATTTTTAGAAGGTTGGAGACATTTTCTATGATTTAATAGCTTTATCAGGTTTTACTACATTTTTATAATTAAAGCAACCGTCTTCAAAACCACCTCAAAAAAACGTAGGAAGGCAACATGAATGGTTTTGAGAGTTTAGGGTAAGATATAGTTTTGAAGTTTGATGAATAAAATAAAACTATAAAATACCTCAGAAAGGTAAAATTAATATTTTGCCCTACATAGATTGTATGAAATAGACTTCTTATAGGCCTTTCTCTCGGTGCGGAATGGTCTAATCCTTCGGGTGCGTTACGCCAACAAAAGCCCTTATTTATTGACTACTCTCCTCATAATTAAGCAAAACTTCTAATAAGAGATACTGCACTAGTTAGCTGCTTGAGGCTTCTTAAGGGCCAGGAATATCTTACACCTAGTGCAGTATTATCCAGGGTGTACAAACTCTAAAAAATGGACAGATTTGGTAGGCCGGTGGATGACCTATAACGCCAAGGGGTGGTGTTCTTGGATGACCTATAACTCCAAGGGCTGGTATTCTGGTTGCTAAGGTATGGGCGTAGAGGCCTAGGAGAGCACAGTTAGAGGAGCGTGGGCGGCCTCACTCGATGCCGGCAACAGGGCGGGCGAGGCGGGGTAGAGGCCTCACTTGGAGCGAACCTTTTAGGTGCCAAATCACAAATACCTTTCAAAGAACATGGAAACTGTTTTTGCAAGGCTCAAATCAAATAATTGTAGGTGTTTATAGTTTATGCTCAGTTCTTTAGTTTGCATGGACTGCAAAGCACTGCAAACTGTTCTATAAAACACATGCCCGTTCACTTTAAACCTGGTCAAATCAACAAAGGGGTTAAGATGCGACGAATTTCAGGGACCTACTGTAAAAAATCGCAATTGCGTACGGGTCACAGCAGATACTAAATGGAGTGCTTTATAATCAACCCTGAGAATTCTCCAACAGACTAATGAAGTAACACAAGGATACTACTAGGCATTATGTATCAGTGGTAGAATTTTTAGAATATACTCGTACATTGCAATTGCAAGGTACATCATAAACATTAGGAGTTAAGCTATTAGTACCATACAAACTAGCAGTAGCATTACAAACACAGTTCTGCCAAAAGGATTTTACCCTCGTAAGAAGGCCAGGAATCTTTCTTCGATTTGAGCTCCCTTGTCTAGAATAAAGGGTGCAGCATGTCCTGGCTAACTCATGTCTGGCCAGGACTCAATTTTGCACAGAGCACTGATCTCCGAACAGAGCACTGGATCAGGAGACTGATCCACATGTATGGCATCCAATATCATCTCATATTCACTGATGACACCAAGCTTTTCCAATGAAGCATTCAAATTTCTCATGTCCTCTTCCTAAATGTTTTCTGGGACATTCTCTCGATAACCAGGAATACCCATTTTCTGTGTCAGAGTACCTTGTAGCCTGCTTGGATGGTAAGAGATCATCTTACTGATATCATAGAACAAAATTAAAACAGGTGCAGATTGTTGACGGTTCGTATGTGTGTATATAGAAAAGGGGATTCTGCAAGCGCACAGAACTATCGTGTAGCACTTCGCTTGGTGAGAACCAAATGTCGAATTTATATTTTCCCAAAGAAAGGCAGATGTATATGTTTGGGTACTGTGGTTAGGTAGGCTAGGTAGGTGTGTTTAGCAACATGGGGTTGATGGAGGTAGTATAGATGATGGACGGAAAAGATAAAAGGGTATATCACAACAAGCAGCGGTAGCTAGAAGTGTAGTGTAGCTGAGTGGAAGAGAAGAGCAAGTAATCTTAAGCAACAAAGGTAAATTAATGATAGTGGGAACGTCCTTAGTACGAGGGGCGTACCTGTCCTGAATTCAATCAGGCACAAAGGACAACGAGTCCTACGTTTTAATAACTAGACCCAATGTGGTGAAATAGGAAGGACAGGGCTGTCACCACCTGCCAACTACCACAATCTATCCGGGGATCTAGCCGTACCTACAGACAAGATATAGCCTAAGCACCACGCTTAATCTATAAACTCGCTGCTTCAATCCGAGCTCCGGTGATATGAGATCGAAGCACCCTAACCAGACGATAGAACAAATACTAACGATGAACGAACTAAACACTAAGATAACTATGATGCTATTGTCAAAGAACAAGCACCTAAGCTCACTAATGATGAACAAGAGCAAGCCAGGACTTAAACTAAGTAGAGCTATATTACTGAAAAAGTACTTGACAAAGTAAAGTAGTAACTAAAGTAAATGCTAAATAAAAGATTAGAAAGGAGCTATACCAGACCAGAAGACTCTTCCGGACTCTGAGGCGAGCTCCGCTCTAACTCTATCACTACTAGCTAGCTACTACTTCTAACCTACTACTTGAGAGCTTCTTGGAGAGCTTGGAATACTTGGAATGCTTGACTGCCCCTTTTATAGTGTGTAGAGGGCAGGGGGTACTTGTAGACAGAGATGAGGCGGTGGAGAGGTAGGGGGGCGTCGGCCGACCGTCCATCCCACTGCCTTTCCATCCAACGGTGCTTGATGGCTTCCAAAGGCGGTTGCATGGCAGGTAGGTCGGTTGCTTTGATCAGAAAGTCGGTTTGTAGGTCGGTTTGGCCCCTCCAAGTAAATGACAGTGGGCCTGTGGATCCGTGGGCGCTTAACCTCCATCCTTGGATCAAACCGACATGGATCAAGCGTGGAGATGCATCCTGGACGTGACACCTTGGCACTCACGCGGATCAGCGACATGGCAGGCCAGGTGGGGCGTTGGGCGACGCCATGGGGCGTTGGCCGACCCCGCCAAGTGGGCCCACGGTCACCTGCCACGTCCACCTGCCTCCTATGCACCTTATTTGTTCATTTTTGTGAAATTTTTCTGTATATGAATAATTTTTCCAAGTACAAATGGAATTAGGTGAATTATAAACATAAAATGGTACTTGTGATGTCGTTTTACTTTGGTTTTGGGTGGAATGTTGATGGTTAAAATAGATGTTAGTGACCGTCAACACAGATCTTTGCTGAGAAACATAAATGCACTTACTCTAGGATTTCATCTCTTTTTTTCCTTAACTTTTCACGCTCAGCATCTACATTAACAGCCCCTTTAAACTGTAGGTACACAGATAAGTCTTCGTTTACAACAGTAGCTGCACAGCTAGCTGGGGTCTTATCGTTCCCTCTCAGGATCTGAAAATTTTCCAACAACAGATCAATGCTTTTGTTAAAGGCCTTTCAACTTAGGCATGATCCAGGTTCAGAAACACTTAGCATAGAAAGAGATGAAGTGATTTCCACCATATTTGAGGTAATTAAACTCTTTCAGGTTTCAGCACAAATTTCGAGGAATAAAGGAGAAACTGATTGCAGATGTTGGAAAGGAAAAACTCATAATGAAAAAAAAGGCAGATAGTCATACAGAAGTTTAAGCCAGAACCTGAACATGTGACACAGAAGAAAGAGATGCAATAAGAGATCGATGGCGCTGAATAGTGTCAGCAATCTCTCGGTTTCGGCAACGTGCAAAAGCACATAGTCTAGATAAAAGTAGAAAAAATAAGCGATAATACAAGGAGATACTAAAATCAAAATAATACAGATGACAATATACTAACCTTTCATTTGAAACTTTTGGTGGTTTTTTTTTCTTAGGGGTTTTTGTTTCCACAGACTAAATTTTAGTTCATATCACATCAGATGTTTGACACTAATTTAGAGTATTAAATATAGATTAATTATAAAACTAATTGCATAGTTTGAGACTAATTTATGAGACGATCTATTAAGTCTAATTAGTTCATGATTTGGCAA